TTTTTTCGGCACCAAATTCAAAGATCTTGTAAACAGTACCTCCATTGAACTGTCAAAAAGTTCATCCGACGAACACTGAGTTCATTCGTGACGTCATGCTGTAGAACCTAATAGGAACCTCACTTTTTGGACATCTGGCAGTGGTTTGTTTACATGAACTAAGAAAAAAAAAATTAAAAAATTTAGTGAATGTTTTGTGGAGACGTATATTTTTCAAACGAACATAGTCGGATATAATATATTTTAATTATTTTTATTTAAAACCTCAATTCCACTTGAAGCGACTAACAAGCAAAGGTAAACAAACCACCACTGGATGTCAAACTGATGAATGCGGGTTCATCGGGTTCATTCGTGACGTCAGCGTGCAGCATCCTATAGACGAGTGCATTGATGAATTTGAGTTAACGCAGTTGATAAAAAGTAACACAAGCTGTCCCTAATAAAAATAACCATAAAAGCGAGCTTAACGACGTGTTCGGGGTATCATCCAAACCATTTGTGGGATAGTTTACCCATCCGGGATACAGTTCGTTTATGGTATTCGTTTATTAGGGCTGGGCAATGTTTACCAACCATGGACACTAAATGTTCATTATTCATTATTCATGAACATTTTGTGTTCATGATTAGTAAACATTTCCCGCAGCTTGTGTCACTTTTAGCCACGTATCAATTATATTGACGCGAAGGGGAAGTATTGACAATAATATTGATGATCTGAGTATAGAAATATTGTCAAGATCGATGTGTTGACGTCAATATAGAATATTGAATATACGATTATTGTCAGTAAAAGCAATCGTGTGGGATCTACTTTTATCGAGTGAGTGAACTCAAATCCATCGGTGCACTCGTCCATAGGGTGTTCCAGATAGTATAAGAAAACTTTAACCACGTCGCCATTTGTATCCCGATCGATGTGTGTCGTTGTTTACGTTTTACTGAACAATCAACCTGAACCAAAACTTCACGTAATCGCCATTGATGAAATCCTTTAAATTTCAATGAAAGTCCAATGAAATAATCACTTGCAAAGTTATGTGTCATTGATTTTCATATGACCATAATTTAAGAGACATATTTCGGCGAACATACGTTTTATAGGGTTTTACAATAGCGCAATTTTATATAAAAACCAATGGTTTTCACGTGTCATTTGCGTTCCGTTCAAAGTTCATTTTTTTCTACTTAATTCAGGTCAGGCATTTTCCCAGAAAGACACCAACAGATCGGGCACAAATGGTGTTTTATGTCTAACCGGTTAGATCAGGATGTAAGAATTGGAGCATCACGAACCACCATCCACGTTTGTTAAAGTCTGGTGAGGAGGATCTGTGTACTAAAAGCTAGTCCGGAAGATCATCCCAGCTTTCGCCAATAAGAAGAGTGCCTTTGTTCGAGATTTTGCTAAAAATTTGAGAGCATGCCAAGGCAGGATGTATACTCAATATGGTAAATAAAATTCCCTGAGTTTTCCAGGTTTCTCCAGGACTTCAACGGAAAATTTTCAGGTTAAAATTGAAACCATTATTGAAAATATGTTTAAATATATGCTATTCGAATATTTCTGTTAGTTTTGAATCTTGAAATCTTCTCCAGGTCCAGAATCTTAGAAACTTTTCCTAGACCTGAATATTGGTCTGAGGAATTACATTCCATTAGCTCTGAATGTCAAAAAATTACTCGCCTAATCTTGAAGATTTGATTTTTCTTAATCCAGAATCAAGAGAACCTTTCTAAGCATGAGATTCGAAGTCTCAGAATATTGAATTTGTTTTATCTTGATTTTTCTTCTGTGATCTCGATAAAACTTCCATGTTTGAATCATCTTGATACTCTCGGAGCTCCTCACAGGATATCTTTAGGTTTTAGGAATTTCCTTAGAATCATCTCAAAACTTATGAGCTAGGGATTCCCAAAGAACTAACCTCGGTATTCACTAATGGCGGTAAGCTCCAACTCGGATAAACTTTTAATACCGACCCTATTTGAATGATCTGAAAAAGCTTTGCTTGGAGTCGTGTTGATAACTTCTGATTTCGACATCAAAGTAGCCAAACATTCTTGATCGGGATTTAATCCGAGGATAATACTGGTTGGAGCTTGCCACCATAAGTATCTCCTAAAATTCCCATGGAATTATCTTTGGAATTCCCTTTAAATTCCACTCAGAATTCTCTAAGAGCAGTCCTGTAAATTCTATGAAATGCCCCCCCGAATTACCTAGGAACTATTCTTTGATTTCTCTTAAAATGATTACAGAAATCGCCTTGAAACTGTCCTAAGCATTCCTTTGAAATTTACACTAAAACTTTGTTGGAAAATTCCATGAAACTTTCGTTAGAATCCCTTTGGAATACCTTAAAGAATTTCATTGGAATCATCCTATTCAGAATTCTCATTGGATTCGCCTTCTTTTCTTGGAATTCTATTCACAAGTACCTTGGACATCTCCGTACATATCCCTTAGTCAGAACTATTTTGGAACTCTCTTGGACTTCTCCTCAAAATTCTGTTGGAAATTTTCTTTGAATCTTACTCAGGATTCCCTTACGATTATAGTCAGACCTACCTTGAAATCTTCCTCACGTTTCATCTGGAATTCAACAGAACTTACTTGAAAGGAATCCTCAGATTTCACTTCATGTTTTCCTAACAATTCTTCTCTTGGGATTCTCCTCTGAATTTCCTTGACAGAGTTCATAGGAAATTATCGTCAACTTCATTCATTAAAGATCATCAGTTGAGAAACTTTTGCAAGGCCCTTATTTAATTGATGCATGATACGAGATTTTCAAAAACCCGGTTTTCCACGTATTTGCAGGTTTCTGCCCGAAAACTTGCACAACCGAAACATTGTTTAGTCCTGGATGGTAACAATCGAAAAGGAAATTGAAGGTTTTAAGGCAGATTCTGATCATAAGTTAAGTTAAGTTTTCTTTATTAGGGAGGCTTTCAGCCTGGGGCTGCTTCGCCTCCGAGATCATAACTTTGGTCTGGCGCCTAAATTGCCAGAGGATACTAAAGACAACATGCAAATGAAAAGAATAACGTTCCTTGGTCGCGAAGCGTGTTTCAAAGCGTGCCTATACTTTCTGGAAAACCCTATAATGCAAAATGAAAAGAACAACCTTTCATCCGCGAAATATTTACGGCAAGGAGTTGGCATTTGCAGTCTCCCTGTCCTATTCAATCTAGAAATAACTTTTGCTTCATTATTGTTGATCTGCTTTCTCAAGGATCAGCGCTCATCAAGTCGTTCCTTAGATACCGAACCGTGAATCGAACTAGCCGTAAAATCACCTATGGATGGATTAAATTTAAGGACTTAAGGACAGTTCCAAGCCAAATAGCAAAAAATAAATAATATTTGACTCGACCGTCTCCGATTTGCATGAAACTTTGTTTAATTGATAGTTGCTTGTTGTGGTTTCAAAAATTTGACCAACAGTTTTTGTAAATTTTCAAGGGTCTCTAGTTTGAAATATTTCAAAAGTTTGTTTAATTTTTCTATTCTATTAATTTTACTCAAAATACCTCAAAAAATTACTGTAAATATTTTTCTCAGAAAGGCTTTATTTTTCATACTTCATTTCGATCAGAAGTGACGTTTTCTTGCTACAATTTATTGAAAAAATGACTAAGGCGCCATTTTGAAAAAAAAAAAAAAATTACCGTGTCCAAAATAGCCGATGAATTATTTCTCAGAACACATAATTATGCAAAGTTTTATGCAATTCGGAGAGGGTCGAGTTTTTTTTTCGATACGTCATTTGGCGTGGAACTGCTCGAGGGAAGAAGTAAATGAAAAATTAGAGAAAATTCTTCGAACCGGATTCTTTGGAACCATTATAATCATCACTTCCTGGGTCTTCAGTAGCCGACATCAGTGAAGAACAATTTCGTAGACTACCGGAATTTGAATTGCCAGTGAGTGCTTAAAACTAATATTATCAGTTAAAGCAACTCCAATCCTAATCCCGAGCACAGGATCAAGGAAACGGGTACTCGAGACTCTTTAGCATGCTACCTAAAACCACATATCGTAGCGTGCCTCTACCTGTTGGAGACTCCATAAAAAGATTCCGTTAAGAGGTCGACAAAATTAAAAGATTTACCGTATTCGTTTTGCCGTGACGCTGAAGCAGACGACAGTCGCTTAAACTAAAACTCACTCGAAGTAAACACAGAATTGCGGGTTGTCGAACCTTGCCGACAAAATAACTTAGTGAGTCGTGTAATAATATTTACTTTTAGTTTACTCTCCGTGCGTCTCTTATAAAACATCGTCTCTGGGGCAGATGATAGCACCAAAAACATGGCCGCCAGTCAGTCCCCTGGCATTTTACGAGCGCTTATGGCCGCCACAATCTGGCTGAGTTTCTGGTAGGGAACATATCTCGCGTCACCTTTCAAATAGACTTCTGATAGACTTCTCTGACATTTGCCAATTAAGGCTTTCAACTGTACCGATAATATTAGTTATCATATAATCACGTCCAGAAACGGTTTTGCAGCCAAGTTAATAACCAAAGAGAAAGTCGACCAATGATGATGACTGGTGACTTAGGATCTAATCCATTGTACGGCTTGCTTTGCCCGAGTTTAACAACTGCCATCAGCCAACCTCCGAAGCCCTTGCTCTCCCTCCACACTAACCGAACGCCAAACCCTACTTGTTCCTTGCTCTTCAACTATCCCGCCGATCAAACTCCAACCACGTCACAAACAAATCTAAACCTACACAAATTCCTAGCGATGAGATCCCCCCCCCCCTTCCCGGTTACAACATCCTACAACAAAACCCCAATCTCGTCTACTTACTGCCACTGTTGTGGTAGATCGCCTGTTGCTGATCCTTCCGGAGGGTCCTCGTCGGTTGAAAGTACAGACTCTCCTCGTAGCCTTCGTCGTCGTTGGCACTGTTGCCACTGGTCAGCTGATGGGGAAGCTTAATGCCACCGCCGCCGCTACTGCCACATCGGATGCCACCACCACCAACACCACCGACGCTGATGCCGACGATGCCAATGCCGCCGCAGCCGCTGCCACCACTGCCGGTTTTAAACTCTGCCTTGGTGGGAACCGCCAGCAATAACCAGAGTATATTAGGGGGAATGGTGTTGATTGATTCATTGATTGTATTTTTTTGCGTTTCGGGTTTAGTAGGTGGTTCCACAGGTTGGGTTGGTGACCATGCGTGGTTGGTGGTGATGATCGATAGTTGTTGTTGTTGTTGTTGGTAATGGTGATGATGAAGATGGTGATGGTGACGATAGGTAGTAAGTATGTAGTTTCGTTTGATTTTGTTTTTGTGTGTTTTAGAATTAATTAAAAGAGAATTAAAATTAAAGCAACTCATAAATAGCTCAAAACTGAAAGTAAACAAAGAAATATAAAAATTCCGTGTAAATGTGAGGGATGTGAGTGTGGTCAGTGAGTAGAGTTAGGAAACAGAAGTTCATAATCATCACTGTGCTGAGAAAGGTCAGCGTTCGAGTGTTCGTTCAACTTAAAAGCTAGAGCTTAGAAATCTAAGGTGAATGAATAATGATTGCAGGAAAGAAGGTAGGCAACACGGTAAGATCGGTAGTGGTGGTCGAGGACCGCGACCGACTCACCTGTCTGGTAGGGTCTGCTACCAAAACTAAAAATCTCCACCACCAGCCCCCGGAAGGAAGGAAGGAAGCGAATGAATTCAAAACAATGTACCTGACATATCTTGCTCATTACCGCGGTTCGATGATCCCGATGACTTGTTGGACGCGTTGGCGATCGTCATCTGATTCGTCTGCTGGATAACGGCTGCTATGTCGCTCTGCGACGCGGACGTGTCCTTACTCGTCAGGATGTCGGAACTGCTCGACCCGGACGACGGATGCCGTTCGCCGGTGCATCCATACTGGATCGGTTGGTAGCCATGCGACGGGTTGTAGTTGCCCGAGTAGGTCATGTAGATCGGTGGATTCGGTAGCGGGGCAATATCGCTGAGCATACTCTCCGTATCGTCCAGCGACATGTGGGAGATGTCCTGCCGTATGCCATTACCAACGACGTAGTAGCATTGCTCGGAGAAGGTTAGCTTGTTGACGGTGTGTTTGATGTAGCCTCGCCTCAGCATGAGCGATACGTACTTGCGGGCGTCCCGCCGATCGCCGATACCGTCCACGTTCTCCAGAATCCAATTGACCACATCGGCACCGATGAACGCATTGGGGATGGTGATTTTCAGCCACATCCGATCGCGGATTTCCAGTCCGCTGTCGGGTTTGGTCATTGCACGTACGATTTCCTTCATGTCCATGTCCACGTGGAGCCGCTCCAGTACGGACTCGGGCAGTTCGGTGTTGATGGTGTCCTGGGAGCGAAGGGCGGCCGTATGGGCTACCCACGCTCCCGGATCGATCGGCCGTACCGGTTCGGTGCGGGGGATCGTAAAGTACCCCTTCGGGTTCGGATCCCAACATTTGGCAACAACTAGTTTGATTGGACCGGGCTTCTGGACGACCTCCCGGAGAACACGGACCGCCTCGTCGTTGGTCATGTTTTCGAAGTTTACATCGTTTACCTACGGAAAGAGAGGGAACAACCAACGGTATCAGAATTATTGACAAGATCCATATTATGAATGGGCGATGGGTCATTAGGACGACATTTTAATAGTTTTAATAGAGTCATACGGAAGCCGTATTGTTCCGGTTTCAAAAAACAGCAAGGCGAAATCATGTTGTTGAATAGTTCCTCCAGGATGTCAAAAGAAAAATCAAACTACAACATTGGAATGTCCACAGGTTAAAATTTTGAAACTCGTAAGAATTGCTCACGTTAATGAAGGAGAAATCTGCTATAAGATATTATAGGCTAAACATTTCTCAGCTGAAAATGTCTTTGCACGTAAGATCGCAATTTTTTTTAAGGACACAGAATGATGAAAATAATTCCAAGTCTCATAATGGGGTGCTTCACGGCAAATTAATCTGATGCATATTTGAGTACCGTTCACTCAAATATGCTTCTTCTTCTTCTTCTTCTATTTCTTTATTATAGAGAATTTCAGCCCTTAGCTGGTTCGTCTCTTAAGAATGAGCAAATGTTTAATCAAATATGAGCGACATTTACCCATATTTGAGTAAAAAATTACTCATTCTATAGGCCTTTTTGATGCACCACCAACATAGAGTGCACCACGTGAGTTCGAGAGAAAATGTCAACCAAACCGTTTGTTTACATCAAAATAAGGATTTTTCACAACGCAAATTAAAGCATTTTTCTTTAAACTTCTTGCCAATTTCCATCAGTACTTATTCCTTGCAAAAACGATACAGTATTAAATTTTTCAACTGGCAATCAAGTTTTGGAGCATCTCAGATGAATCAATTTATCAGGAATAGTGAAAAAGTGTTCCGCTTCCTATGTCTTACGGCAAAATTTCTGCTCACAACACTCTTTTTTAAGTTCTCTTATTCACCACCAGAGGTTGAATCGATCACATAGTTTCTATTAAAAAGGCGTATTAGCAACCGGTGGAAACTAAAAGTGATGCAAAATATCATAACTCACACGTGACACTCGTCTACGCATCAACCAACTATCGCTGACAGAACGTTTTGTCACGCAGTGAGAGGTAGAGCCATGGCAAACAACAATCACCAGTAATGGTTGCCGCTCACAAGCGAAACGTTACACTCGCTGCTGATGATGAAAAGCACAACGAAAACAGTCAAGACTTCTGCAGTACGATCATGAGAAAAAGCGAAACGACAGAAGAAAATGAAAACAATGCCTACGCTCACTACTTCACTAGCCTATTGGTCTCAAGCAAATCGATTAACGTATCTCATTCTAGTCAAAACTCTAGTACCACACTATGTTTGTTTTGATTCGCTATGAAAGCTTGACAGATAAAATGATGGGTTCCTGGATTTTCCTATGATCCTATGTGCATCGATTAGCTTGGGACCGAAGAGAGTACCAGAGCCAGCGTTGCCAGGTCATTTTCTGAAAAATCTGGACCAGTCTAATTATAAAATCTGGATAAATCCTGGAACGCTCCAAAAAATCCTGTTGTTAACATAATGCTACTGAAATCAAAGTGATGTGCCAATCTCCCGTAAAATCGGTCAGGATGATCATCTGGAATTTATTCAAAGTCTACCAGAATGTTTCTGAAATCCATGTTTAAAAAAATATATAAAGCTAACTTGTTAGCATTGCTAAAATCATCCAATAGTTAAGAAAAGTATTGACACAGTGTTCCCAAAAAGTTTAAATATTCATTATGCAGCATTTCAAAATTGATTCAAATTGTTGGTAAAATACTGCAGAAAATATTTTTAGGATTCAGAAGCTGTAAAGAGTCAAGCTACTTTGATGGGACGATTTAAAAAAAAACTAATAGTCGATTTAGTCCTTAATATTTGATGCAGTACCAGAATATAACTTAAATGTTTTATTAGTTTTAAATAATTTGTAATATTACTCTGCAATTGATCAGAATTCCAATTTCATTCTTGACATCATACAATTTACAACACTCGGTTGACCAGTAGGCAATTTTATTTTAAACTTAAATTCTCCTGACAGAAGTGAGAATCAAAGCCTAACATCGTGGTACTCACACACAGTTTACCTAAATTAAGGGTTACTCCACATGACTATTACAAATAATTTTATGCCAAAGAATAATATTATTATATAACTAAAATGAAAGTCTGAATGCGTTATTTTTGAAGTCTCAGGATCTTGAAATGGTTCTAAATTCTGGAATTTATGTTTTTTCTGGGTCCCAGATCATAATTTGTTAATCTGAATTTACTTCATTTACAGAATTCAATTGTAATCATCCTTGAATTTCATCATACTTCTGTTCTAAACTAATCTTGATAATATCCGAACTTTTTCAGTAACATTTTAGGAGTGATTAGCATTATCTCTTATAATCTCTTATAAATCGCTCTCTGATTCCACAATTCTCTCAAAGTGGTAATAATTTCCAAGAATTGGCATAATTTTGCCTCATTTTTTCTTAATAAAATTCCCTTAGGATATTATAAATAATTTCCTTGGTACGCTCTTCAGAATGACCACCACATTCTTCTCAGCCTAATCCTCTTCAGTATACTCTAAGTACTCAAGTACTTTGCCAAAATAGCCTTGAAAGTCTCTCAGAAATTGCCAGATTTCTTAAAACTTGATAAAACCTAATTTCCATAGAAACATTGGGCATAATTCCAAAGAAATTATTCGCACGATTCATATAAGCATTCTGCTTAAGTTTCATCTTAAGAATTTTCTATGATTTCTCTTCCGAAATCTAACAATTTTTTTTCTTCACAAAATCTCCATGCAATTGTCGTCAGAGTATGCAAAAGACAATTTATACCATCTTCACTTCAATCAAAGGTTGCACATACTGCATACTTACACTTCACTGTAAACTATTTTCAGGATTACCTTAAAATTCTGAAATCTAGGGCAATTCAGAATTATAAAGAATTGCAGACTGCTAAGGTAACTCAAGATTCACAGGTTCTTTAAAACTCTTTTTTTAAATCTTATTAATTATCCTCAAAAATATCACGAACATACTTCAAAGTCCTGGTGGTTGTCTAGATTCAAAAGCCTTTCTAATTTTCAAAAGTTCAATTTATTGTTTTCAATCCTGAACAGTTTTCGATTTCTCTAAATTCAAAAATCAGGAAAATTCCTCCAAGATTAAAAAAGATATACCAACATCTAAACAAAAACTCCAAATAAAAAAATCCCTGCTCGCTATTTTAAAAATTGGAAGATTTTTACAGCCAATAATGTTTAGAAAATGTCTCAATTTTCATGATTCGGCAACTCATTGCAAACATACTGTAAAAATTATATGTATGATGTTGCAATAATATCCAGCGTTGATGGCCTTTAGTATCTAAAGTAGTAAGTTTGGCTTTTTGTTTTTTGATTAGAGGGTCCATTAATTGCAGTTATATTTATAAAGCAACACATTTTAAAAATCTGGGATAATCTGGAACATATTTAAAAAATCTAGAAATAAACGTGATCTGTCTGTGTATCTGGCAAGACGACTGAAAATCTGGAAAATCCAGATAAATCTGGAATACTGGCAACGCTGATCAGAGGTGAGCCAAAAAGTTGAGCTCGTTTCTTCGGGACCTTCTGGTCTAAGAGTTACCTCTATGGTATTAGTTTCCTACGTTTTTGCGAATTTCAGAGAACGGTCCTCAAATATGATTCATATCCATTTGACGTGTTCGTACTACTTCTGATAGCACTAACCACCAGATGGCAAGCAGCCTTGATTCGTATGGGCTGGTGGAAAACCAACCTAAGAATGTATGGCGAAATTCAGTTTTAATTAAAACTATCAATAATTATGCACTTTTTACGCAATATTTTTCCAAATAATATCGTTATTACTAAATACTAAGAACAAAATGTAGAAATTTGTTCATAGATAGAAGCCATATTTGAAGAAAAGTCACCGAATTTTCCGAAAATCACCATACTGTAAAACTGGTTTATCCACCGTTGCACCGTTTGAAAAATTCATGTAAATTTCTGCGAGATATAGCGCACATAAAATAAACGCTTGATTTGGCATAAATTTACGCGATATTTCGGGTAAATTTAAGCGCAGTATCGCATAAATTAGCAATATTGTATACAAGCTTGTAAACGATTTCACTGTTTATGCCAAGTATAGCTCAAAATTAAACAAAGGGAGATTTTACGCGATAGTTAAAACTCAGATCTTTTTTCTGTGTGGGGCGACAACTATGGGATTTGGTGGTGACAAGTAGGACCCTATTATAATTTTTTTTTCATAAATGTGTGTTTTCGTTATGTTTTCAAACATTGACAATCTAGATATTATCACTTAAATAAAAATGTGCTATTATCTTCAATGCCACTTCCTGGACAACGATCTTGAAAACATAAATCAAAGTGCCAGTGTTTGGTACTTGTTACGAAGAATGAAACACGATCAATCTTCGACTTTTAAATATTAGCCTAGTATCGTTCGGCCTAATAGCTTTCGGCTTAATGACGTTAGTTCTTATACCTCCAGGCCTGGTACAACTTTTAATTAGCGTCGTTAGGCTGATGCAAATTTTAATTATGTTTTATGTCACCTCCAGAAAATCATTTGAAAAAATACGCTGAGTAATTTTTGTATTGAGCAAAGCGAACCTATGACAAATGGTCGAATGGACAAAAGTTCGAAGTAACACAAGGACGAATGAAATGTATAGGGACAAAAGATAAAATTACAACAAGTTGAAATGGGCATAATGTCGAAATGAATAAAAGGTCGAATGGTCAAATGACCGTATACAATTTGTAGGGACAAGTAGTCGAAATAGACAACAGTTCGAATTAAATTTAAAGGTGGAATGAAAAAAAAAGGTCTAATGTCCATAAGGACGAATGGGCAAAAGATCACTCAGAAATTTTTTCACTTAGTGTTACATGAAAACATACATAGATTTTTTCCATCTAGTTTTTCACGTAAATTTTACGGTTTTCATATGTGGATTAGTTTGAAAGTTCTAATTTCAA